TTTTCCCTGGAAACAAGGGCAGGATAAAAAGGGAGTTGAGGTACCTGAGGTTTGTGTGGTTTAAAGTGTTGAAATCAGGGAAAAATCTGGGCTTTGTTCTCAAAAATCACCTCAAGCAAAGGTGAGAATTTAAGGGTGAAAAACTCTTCTCAAAAAACACTGTTTTGGAGCCATTTTTAGCAGTTTGAACTGCAGCAAGACACTCTGAAATCGAAATAAACAGCCCAAAAAACTGCATGAAAGGCAGCTGGTTTTGGAAGCAGCGAAACAAAACCTCGCTTGGTGAGATCCAGGAGATTTTTTAGCTGCCCTTCCCTCCTTTTCCTCCTCTCCAGGTGGGAATTTTCCAGGCGTTTTCCCAACTCACCATGTTGGGCTGCCAGCCCTCCACGTTGACGCAGCGGTCGATGCACCACCAGAAATCGTCCTCGGATTCGCCCTTCCAGGCAAACACGGGGAATCCTGGCCAGGGAGGGAGGGGTTAATGCAGGAAAATCCCTTGGGAATCAGCTCTTGGATACTGAGTTATTAATTAATGTGTTAATTTCTTTGGATGTGTTGAGTTATTACTTGGCTTCGGCCAGTGAGAGGTGCGGGGGGTTTGGCTTCTCCTGGCAGTCCCAGAGCTCCAGGTGAAATCCCTGGATTTATCCAGGTGAAATCTCTGGATTTATCCAGGTAAAATCCGTGGATTTATCCAGGTGAAATCCCTGGATGTATCCAGGTGAAATCCCTGGATGTATCCAGGTGAAATCCCTGGATTTATCCAGGTGAAATCCCTGGATGTATCCAGGTGAAATCCCTGGATTTATCCAGGTGAAATCCCTGGATTTATCCAGGTGAAATCCCTGGATGTATCCAGGTGAAATCCCTGGACTTAGCCAGGTAAATTCTTCGGTCTTACCCAGGTAAAACCCCTGGATTTATCCAGGTGAACCCCTGGATTTATCCAGGTGAAATCCCTGGAACCAGTCAGGTAAAAACCCTGGATTTATCCAGGTAAAATCCCAGGCCTCACTCAGGTAAAATCCCTGGATTTATCCAGGTAAAATCCTTGCATTTACACAGGTGAAATCCTTGGATTTATCCAGGTAAAACCTCTGGATTTATCCAGTTAAATCCCTGGTCTTACCCAGGTAAAATTCCTGGTCTTACACAGGAAAAACCCCTGGATTTATCCAGGTAAAATCCTTGGATTTATCCAGCTAAAACCTCTGGATTTATCCAGTTAAATCCCTGGATTTAGCCAGGTAAAATCTCAGACCTTATCCAGGCAAAATTCCTGGATTTACCAAAGTAAAATCCTTGGTCTTGTCCTGGTAAAATCCCTGGATTTACACAGGAAAATCCCTGGATTTACACAGGAAAAATCCCTGGTTTTAGGGAAAATCCCTGGATTTTCCCAGATAAAACCCATGGACACACCCAGGATTTCCCAGTTCCACTGAATTTCTTTGGGAATTCCATTTCCCCCAAAAATTCTCCCTTTCAGCCGAGTTATGCCCCAAATGATGGAATTTAAACCAAATTTAGCTTCGTTTCTTTGAGCAAAGCAACTTCCAGCTTCAGCAGGAGAAATTCCCTATAAAATCCTGGAGAAATTCCCTATAAAATCCAAGAGGAATTCCATATAAAATGCAGGAAAAATTCCCTATAAAATAAAGGAAAAATTTCCTATAAAATCCTGGAGAAATTCTCTATGAAATCCAAGAGGAATTCCATATAAAACACAGGAAAAAATCCCTATAAGATAAAGGAAAAATTTCCTATATAATCCTGGAGAAATTCCTATAAAATCCAGGAAAAATTTCCTATAAAATGCAGGAAAAATTCCCTATAAAATGTAGGAAAAAATCCCCATAAAATGCAGGAGAAATTCCCTATAAAAGCCAGAAAAAAATCCCTATAAAATCCTGGAGAAATTCCCTATAAAATCTAAGAAGAGTTACTTATAAAATCCAGTAAAAATTCCCTATAAAATGCAGGTGGAATTCCTTAAAAAATCCTGGAGGAATTCCCTATAAAATGCAGAAAAAAATCCTTATAAAATCCAAGAGGAATTCCCTATAAAATGCAGGAGAAATTCCTATAAAATGCAGGGAAAATTTCCTATAAAATCCAGGAGAAATTCCCTATAAAATGCAGGAGAAATTCCCTATAAAATGCAGGAGAAATTCCCTATGAAATCCAAGAGGAATTCCATATAAAACACAGGAAAAATCCCCTATAAAATACAGGAAAAATTCCATATAAAATCCAGGAGAAATTCCTTATAAAATCCAAGAGCAATTCCCTATAAAATCCAGGAGGAATTCCCTATAAAATGCAGAAGAAAATCCCTATAAAAACCAAGAGGAATTCCTTATAAAATCCAGGAGAAATCCCTTATAAAATCCACAAAAATTCCCTATAAAATCCTGGAAAAAATCCTTATAAAATCCAAGAAGAGTTGCTTATAAAATCCAGGAAAAATTCCCTATAAAATACAGGGAAAATTCCCTATATAATCCAGGAGAAATACCTATAAAATGCAGAGAAAATTTCCTATAAAATCCATGGGAAATTCCTTATAAAATCCTGGAGAAATTCCCTATAAAATGCAGGGAAAACTCCCTATAAAATGCAGGAAAAATTCCCTATAAAATCCAGGAGAAACTCCCTATAAAATCCAGGAGGAATTCCCTATAAAATCACGGAAAAATACCCTAATCCAGGAGGGATTCCTTATAAAATCCAAGAGGAATTACCTGTAAAATCCAGGAGAAATCCCTTATAAAATCTACAAAAAATTCCCTATAAAATCCCGGAAAAATTCCCTTAATATCCAGGAAAAATTCCCTATAAAACCCAGGCAAAATTCCCGATGAATTCCAGGGAAGAGGGAGCCGTTTCCTACCGCTCTCAGCCAGGGCAGCGGCCACCTCGTTGAGGGTGGAGTAGATGTTGCAGGCGGCCCAGCGGCACTGAGCTCCCAGCGCTCCCAGAGTCTCCATCAGCACCTGCATCCCAAAAAAACCACGGGAATCAGCGCGGCCAAATCCCGCCTTGCACCTGACCTTGCTGGGAAAGCTCCCACGGGGGCTCACAGCTGGGCTGGACGCTCTGGGAGGGTCTCCTAAACTGGTTTAAGCTNTTTTGTCCTGGTTCCTCTGCTGGTTTGCTCGAGCCATGGGGATGGGATGGGATCCATGGGATGGGATCCATGGGATCCATGGGATGGGATGGGATGGGATGGGAGGATGGATATCTGAGACGGGATGGGATAATCTGGGAGATGTTTTAGGACAAGACCCCTTTCCCAGCCCCAGTTCAGAGCTGTGGCCACAGGGATCCCCTGCCCTTTTCCCCGGCATCCCTTTGGGAACCGAGCGGGCTCCGGCTGCGGTTTTCCCGGGAAACGGAGAATTCCAGGGGGGATGAGCCCTTACCAGGCCTGGAGGGCGCAGATGGGGTCGATCTCGGTGACGTAGACGATGGAGCCCATGGCCTTGAGGGCAGCACAGCAGCCCTTCCCCACCTGCAGCAGGGACGGAGAGCGGCTGAGCTCGCAATTCCCAAGGGATGCACAACCCCGGGAGACTCTTCCCAGCCCCTTCCCAGCCCTCTGGAGGGATTGAACCCCATTTCTGTGCGTGAAACCCCTGGGTTTGGAGCAATCTGAGGTTTAGGCCTGGCTTAGGGAAGAGAGGCACTAAAACCTCCCAGGTTTTGGTGCCAGGGATTGTTTTTTCCCCCCAAAACATCCCAAAGTCTGGAATGCAACGCAACAGGAGATCCCAAAGATCCCAGGGGAAGTTCCAGAGCCTCCTGGAGCCTCTGCCCCACTCAGGAAGCTTTAGGGGTAATTAACCTCGGAGGGTTAACGAGCTGCCCAGCACAGGCAGTGCAGGGAATCCAAGGTAAACGACCAAAAATTCCCAAAAATGTGATTACAGCAGGAAAAACAGAGCCCATTCCTTAAAATTAAAAAAAAAATTAAGTTAAAATTAAAATAAAATCCCAGTAGAGCACCCACAGCAACTGCTGTGAACTGGTCCTGAGAAAAACTGGGAAATGGGGAATATTCCCCCATGGAGAGAGGGTGGGTGAAGGGATAAATCAAGATTAATTCTCTCTTGAGCACACTGGAATGCCCAGAACATCTGCAGAACCTCTGATTTTAGTAAAATCAGATTAAATAGAATATTAAAATTATACAAATATGTTTTGTATCAATATCTGGGCATGCTGATATCCAGATATTAAAGATATTCTGAATATTTAATATATATTTTTTTTAAAAGATTCAGTTTTGGCACCTCTTGAATAACAAATAAATGAAGAAAACTTTCAGGTTTTTGGCCAACTCCTGAGGTTTGGAGGGTCCTGAAGGTGCAGAGTGAAGACCCCGAGGGTGGAGAAAGCTGTGCTGATTTTACACACGAAATTCCCGGTGGGAAAAGGGGGAAAATTGGGGAAAAATTGGGAAAACGGAGTCCCTTACCTCCCCATAGCCACAAACCACCACCTGCTTCCCTCCAAACATCATATCCGTTGTCCTCTTCAGGCTGAGGAAAAAGGAGAATCACAATTAAAGGTCAGAATTCCAGCCCAGCCCCAAGAGCTGCTCCAAGGATGGATCCACAGCTGGATCCTTGCATCCCTGAAATTCCAGGGGAAGAGAAAAACCCGAAAAGCACCTAAAAATTCCCTTTTCCGCTTGGAAAATTTCCTTTTCCTTCTTTCTTTCTTCCAACAAAGAGGATGGAATTTGGCTTTGGAGTCCCCTTTTTTTTGTTGTTGTTGTTGTTGATTTTTATTCGTTTGCCCTTTGTTTTGCAACTCCCAAAATCTGGAAAATCCTCCCCAGAAGCACTTTAAACTGGATTTTTGTTGTCCCTCGAGGAAGAGCCCCAGGAGCAGCAGGGGAGGGGGAGCTCCTTGCCAGAATCCCAGAGCTTTTCCCAAACCTTCCCCTGCTTTCCTTCTGCTCCCTCCCTGAGCATGTCCTACATTCCAGGCTATTTTTAGCTCTGGAATAAATAGGTTAGCGGTGCAGGGAAGGTGAAATTCCCTCATTTTTTTCATGGGAATTCAGCTAAAAACCCACAGCAGCTCTAAGGCACCTCTGCTCTCATCCACCCTGACCCCGGGCCAAATCCCAATTTACCCCTTGAGGTGTTTCCACAGAATTCCAGGATTTTTTTGGGTTGGAAAGGTCCTCAAGTCCCGTCCCATCGGATCCCATCCCATCCTATCCCATCCCATGGATCCCATCCCATCCCATGGATCCCATCCCATCCATGGATCCCATCCCATGGATCCCATCCCATCCCATCCCATCCCATCCCATCCCATCCCATCCCATCCCGTTATCCCAGGCTGCTCCAAGCAGCCCCATCCAGCCTGGCCTCTGATATTTCCAGGGATGGATCAGCCAGAGCTTCTCTGGGAATTCCATTCCCATATTTCCCATGGTTATTCCCATCACTGCTCCCTGTTCTTTGGATCAAATTCCTTGGATTGTGCCACAAACGATGTCACAACAAGGACAAAACCTGTCCCAGCCCCGCTGGGCCAGAATTTGGGGCTGGAAGGACTCGGACACCCAATTCCATGAAAAGAAAGGGATAAAGAGGGGAAGTGGGAAGGGCGGGAATGTTGAGTCACACACGGGACACGGGCGGATTTTATCCCAAGGGGAGGGACAGGACAGGAATTCTGATGGAAGGAAGGATTTCCTTCTCCTCTGACACACGGATTGAGCCGAGATGATCCAAAGGCAGCAGAGCAGAGCTCTGTGGGAATTCCTCCCCAATCCCTGTGGGAATTCCTGTGTGAATTCCTCCCCGTTCACTGTGGGAATTCCTGTGGGAATTCTTCCCCATTCCCTGTGGGAATTCCTCCCTGTTCCCCATGGGAATACCTTCCAGTTCCCTGTGGGAATTCCTGTGGGAATTCCTCCCAGCTCCTAGTGGGAATTCCCCATTCCCAATGGGAATTCCCCCCATTCCCTGTGGGAATTCCTTCCCATTTCCACTGTGGACTCCCCTAATTCCCAGTGGGAATTCCCCCATTCCCAGTGGGAATTCCTCCCTGTTCTCAGTGGGAATTCTTCCCCATTCCCTGTGGGAATTCCTCCTTGTTCCCTGTGGGAATTCCTCCCTGTTTCCAGTGGGAATTCCTGTGGGAATTCCTTCCCATTCCTGGTGGGAATTCCCCCCGTTCCCAGTGTGAATCCCGTTCCCGGTGTGAATTCCTCCCCGTTCCCTGCGGGAGCCCCACGCACCCATCCAGGATGGATTCCCGGCAGCAGTACAGGTTGTCGAATTTCTGCTTGGTGACGGAGTCGTTGACGTTCATGGCTGGCACGCAGAGCTTCCCCGCCTTGGAGAGCTGGTACAGCCTGGCACGGACACACGGCGTTATCCACCGGGAATCCATCCCCAGAATCCCAGGATTCGGGCTGGAAAGGGCCTCAAACATCCTGGGGACGCTGGATTCTGTCCCGGTGTCCAGCCTGGCCTCGGATATTCCCAGGATGCAGGGGCAGCCACAGCTGCTCTGGGAGTTCCACCCTCATTCCTTCCCAAAATCCCACTCCCATCTCTCCTTTCCCAGTGGGAATCTTTCCCTGGCTCCTGCCCCTCCAGGCCTTTCCCAAATTCCAGCTCTCCTGGAGCCCCTTCAGGCCCTGGAATGTTCTGGAAGCTCTCCCTGGATTCCCTTCTCCAGCATCCCCCTGCTCTCAGCTCCGGGCCCAGCCTGGACTCCCCAGAGCTGGAAAATCACTAAAAATGAGTCTGAAAATCCTGTCCCTGCTCCAGCCCTTGGGAAGGAGAACCTGCCTCTGGAAATCTTCCCACACTGGGATTTCAGATCCTAAAAATATCATCAGTCCTTCTCCTGCCCCCACTGGTGCAGACCCGGAGCCACTTCCCAGCTCCAACATTTCATTTCCCTGTTCCTGGCCCAGCTCTGAGCCCTTCCCGCACAGCACAAAGCTGCTGCTCTCCTCAGCTCCTGGAATTCCATGGAATTTACGGGATTCATTCCATGGAAAAGCTCCTTGGACACCTCCCAAATCCCAGAGCTGCTCCTGCCAGGGACCGAGGGATTTCACTCGCTCATCTCTGAGGTTCTCCCTTCCCCAAAAAACAACTCCGTTCCTCTTCCCAAATTTTTCCCATGGATTTAGGTCAGGGCTGTGCTCTCGGCTTCCTCCTCAGCCTCTCCATTTTCCATCTCCTCCCACCCCACAGGTGGAGAAGCACACCTGGACACCCTCCCACCCACAGGAGGGGCTCCTGCTCCTCTCCTTGGGAATTCAGAGCAATTCCAGGTGTCCTGCTGGGGATGGGAAGCAGTTTCCATGGGAAGCCAGGCCTGGGATGAGGGAAAAGCAGAGCCCAGGTGCTGGAGGGTTGAGTTTTACCCCAAACTTCTCCGTCCCGTTACCTGTGGACCCCGGTCACGCTCTCCTCCACGATGCCCTTGATCTTCTTGAACATGTTGGGATATTTCTTGTAGATCCAGTGGGTGAGATCTCCCCCATCATCCAGGATCTGGAATAAAACCAGCCACAGTCAGCTGGGGCAGCCACGGAGCCACTGCTGGAATGAAAACGTTGGGGGTGAGCAAGAAGCCCTCTGGAAAACTGCCTTGGGAAGGGCAGACAGGAAAACAACTCCCAGGAATCTCAGAATTCCAGGGAAAAGAGATGTCCAAGAGTTTGGTGAGTTTAACGTGTATGGGAACACCTGGAATGGCACCCGGGGAAGGTGCTGGGCTCACAGGGATCCCCTGAAGAAGAAAAGGCACGAGAAAAGCAAAAATCCCAAATGTGGATTTTGCCCAGTCCTGGCTCCAGGAGGCCCTGGTGGCCCAGGAAAGGTGGGAAGTGTGAGAACCCTGCTGGATTCCAGAGAAAACACGGAGCAGATGTCACCCAGGGCAGGGGAAGAGCCCAGGGGATGGCCATGGTGAGAGCACAGCGGCTATCATCATCCTCAGAG